GAGCTGCAGGGCATCTTGGAGGTCTGGCACAAGCAAAAAGGGGGGGGTGGTCCCAGGGCTGTTCCTCAGCCTGGAGGGGAGGGTTGGCCCACTCCTGGCTGAGTGGTGCCCAGAGCAGTGCCGAGCAGGCAGAGTGCCCTGTGGGGAGGGTGCCCACCTCCTGTGGGGAAGCAGAGGCTGGCCCTAGGCTCTTGTGGAGCACAGGGGCTGCAGAGGCTGGCACCTACCCTCCTCCTTGGCCATGAGGTTGGCTCTGGGGCCTTTGTGCCTGACCTGGGCGGGAATCTAGGGGCAGACACCCCACTGCAGGCTTTGCTGGAGGGGAGAGGAAGCCTTGAGGGATGGGGCGAGTGCGGCCCAGCAGTGGAGCTGTGCTGTTGGTGTTGGAGTCTGCTCCCATGATTCACCCGCTGCTTCTCTTGTCCCAGCTGCTGCTGGACTTTACCAGATGCCAGAGAGAGGCTGTGAGGGAGAGGGCCATGGCAAGGATCGATGTGCTCACCTGTGTGCTCTCCGACTATTCCACTCTGCAGGTACGGGCCAGGCCCCCTCCAGCCAGGCCATGCCCCCATCCCTGCTGCTCTCCATGCCAGGGCTGCTGCCCACGTGGCTGCTCTGAGAGACGGGGACGCAGGGCTCTGCAAAGCCTGGTCTCTCCAGGAATCCAGCCCTGGGCAGACTCTCGGGAGGGGGGCTTTGGCACCACCTTTGGGCCCTGAGCCCTTCTGCTCATGCCTCCCTCATCCAGGCCCATGCCACCGTCAGAAGAGGCACTGCTGGACCTGTCTGCTCTGGGGAGATCCAGCTCCCGCTCCTAGGAAAGCTGCTGGGACGTCTCATCCTTTTCCGGTTCTCTGAGGAGCAGACATGCTATGCAGCTTTCCATGCTCTTTTTGCCCTGGCTGAGTTCATCTGTAAGTAAAAAAGGCAGAGCAGTGGGGGGCTTCATCTGCTCTATCTCCTGATCAATCTGCTTCCTGACCCCCCTTGCCCCTCCCAGCTGCTTCTCAGAGCTTCCCAGCTGCCCCTTTGCTGCAGAGGCTGAGCGCTCTGCTCAAGGCCAGGATCTGTTTGCTGCTGCTCTCCTTCCTCCCCTTCCTTTCAGGACCTTGCAGGCCGCTGGTTTGTGGGCCCCACAGCCAAAGCCCCTCTTGACTACCCTGTCCCAAAGCCACGTCTTCCCTGGTGGGGAAGAGCAGATCTCCCACCCTGGCTGGTCCCTGCAGTGCCTGTAGCAAGAAGCTGTTCCTGATGCTCTCCCAAAATCCTGGACTGCTCCTGTCCTGCCCCCTTGCCAGCAGATGCCAGGGCGGTTTGGTGAGCTTGCTGGCAAAGCTGCTCTACCTTCCTGACTCTTGTGTGTTTGCCCCGGTGTTTAGTCGAATCCAGGCTAAAGGACAGAGCAGACCAAGTCCACCGGGAAGCCGTGACCACGTCCGCACTGTGTTCTTTGAGCGCCAGGGACTGTGCCAAGGTAAGGAGCTGCGCCCTTGCTGGGACTCCTGTCCGTGGCACCAGCAGGGCACTGGTGTGAGCCAAAGGACCCCACAGCAGTGGGACTGGCGCACCTTCAGCTCCCTGGGGAGAGGGTTTGTGCTGTCCTTGAGCAGGGACAGCACGAGGGCTGCACTCCAGTGGCCCAGCAATAGCTTCAGCCCCAGCAGGAGCTCCAGCGCTCCTGGCCACCAGCAAGTCCCTGGTTCTCGGTAGGGCCAGCAGCCTGTGCCCATGAGCCCTCCTCCCCCCGCAGGAGGGCCCTCTCTGTTCCTCTTCTGCTATGCAGGGACTGCAGGCACTGCTGCCAGCTTTGCTGTGGGCACTGCTGTTAGCAGTGGTGGGCACGTGCGGTTGGAGCCCCTCAAGCTGCTCAGCCAAGCAGCACCATCAGGGCACTCAGAGCGACAGGTCTTCCTTCCTTGCTGCCCTAGGCCTTTGGAAAATACCTGCGGTCCCACGAGAGGACAGATGTCATCCTCGCGGCCATTGAGGCACTGGGAGATGCCAGCATCCTCGACCAGCAGGTGCCCAGCAGCCTGCTGGATGTGGCCTTGGAGGACCCGGTCGTCTGGCTGACAGACGTAAGTGGCCTGTGGCTGCATTGTCGTGCCCTTCAGCCCTCTTGGACCTTGTTCCTCCCTGCATCCCGCCTTCCCAAGCACAGGGGACTTGGGCCCCCCAAGCCACCTCAAGGCAGCAGAGAGGAATGGGAAGGGCAACTGAGCACATGGCTGCACTCCGGGGGCAGTGCCATCCTCACCTGTATCCCCTGCAGGCGCCCAAGATAGTCAGCAGCATCCTTGAGAGCCTGCCATACTGCAGCACACAGGCAGCGTGGGAGAAAGCAGAGTCGCTCCTTCGCCTGATGACCAACCTGTACCCCAGCACAGTGGTCATCCTCCTGTGCAAGGCGGCTCTTCAAGGAGACAGGTACTGGCCCTGATGGCCTTGAGGGTGGGCTTCTTCCCTGTGGGGAGAGGGACCCCGAGACTCTCTGGCTGCCAGAGCCAAGGAATGCTACGGGACAGCCTGCAGAGTCAGGCCCTCCGTCCCCCCACGCTTTCCAACCCTACTTCACAGCAGCCAAAGCTGGCCCAGCCAGCCCAGAGCCAGCCCGGTGCTCCAGCCCCACGGGGAACACGCCCTCAGCCCCGTCCTGCCCGCACGGGCAGGGCCCCCAGGGATGCGCAATCAGGGCTCCAAGGGGCAGGTTCTGGGGGCTGCTCCAGGCCACAGCACTGGGGCCGAGGCAGCCCTGCTGACAGCGCTCTGCCTTCTCTGCCTTCCAGCACTGCGCCGGAGCTGTGGGAGCTGATGTCCTCCATGCCGGAGACACTGGCCAAGATCTTGGAGGACTTTGCCAACCTGCTGTGCACACAGTGCTTCCGCTGCTCCGCAGAAGGCCCCCGCACCCAGCCCGTGGCTGTGAGTGACCACTAAAGGCCCTGGTCCCCTCCCGCCAGCCCTGCAGGCTCTGCCGGCCCCTCACGGCTCTGTTTGCTCCTGCAGTCATCTTCCAGGAAGGCTGAGTCGGAGGAGTCGGCTGACGAGCCCGACATCGAGAGCCATCAGGGCTGTCCAAACATGAGGACAGCCGGGCTGCTGCTGGAAGGGCTCGTCGGGCTGTCGCAGAGAGCCGAGATGGTGAGCAGGGCGGTGCGAGGGGCAGCCCTGTCGGCAAACGGGGGCTGGGGCTGTGTGGAAAGCAGTGGCTTGGCCTGACCTGGGACTCAGAACGTGGGGTGACTGCTCCAAACGCCCTCCCTGCCATGGTGG